TGTTGCTCATAAATTGACTATATGAAGAACAGCATAATAAATAAATGAAATGAAACAATCAAGACTAGGTTTTTTTGATAAATTTTTGTTTCTTAAAAGGCAGTTATTTTAAAGGTTAACAGTTGATCTGAACAAAATAATAGAAACATTTCTTTCAGTTTCAATTACCATTAAAAAAAATAGTAAAGACTAGAACTGACATATTCAAAACCTATCTTTTCTTTTTTAATTTAATGGACATATTTGAAGTGTCTAAAATAGTAGGATATTTTATCCTAGCTGAGTAGAGCTTGGTCCTTGTAATGGTGTGAATTTTAGTGATTGTATTCATTTGATTAGTGGTGTTCAGCTTCATAAATCTAAACAGGGTGTATATCCCGTAAGCAGATTTTATACAGGATGGAAAGGGAAGGAATGCCCTGGCAGTCTTAACCCTTTCCACCCTTTTATTCTGTTCTTAAAATATTAAGTTTAATTTTAAATTAAGTACATTTGTTAAGAATATGTTGAGGAGATAAGAAAAATATTTATTTAATTAAAGAGTTTATATATTATTGTATTCAACTTTGTATTCATTCATTTATATCTTTTTAAAAATTCTCACTCTTAAAGCCAATGACTCCTGTGGTGCACTGAGAAAACCTTTTAGTAAATCTTGTCTTTCATATTAAGTGTTGGTATGTATTTTGTTAAACAATTAACTAATATGCTGCTAAGTGATCTGAGTGGTAGAAAATACTTGGCTCCAGGGGATGTTGAATTGTTTGGGACAATAATAGGAAAACTTTTCATTAGGAATTTTTTGGTTAATTTAATGAGTGAATTCAGAGGAAGTATATTTACGTGTAACATAGGAACAGTTCTGTTGCTGTTATTAACATACATGTTCTTCTGGTAAACAGCAATAGGCAAAAAATATTTCAATGATCTAGGCTGTAGACTTTGTATTATTATCCCATTAGTCTTGGTGTAAGAATTTATCAGTAAATTCTTAGACCATTAAAGGATTAAAACTCCTTTGCATTGTTCTTGGGTTTCTCCCTTTTTCACCTGTATCTGGTCAGCTTTAAGGATGATTGCATTAATTCCTTAATTTGGAGGGTTTTACCTCATTGTTAACATAGAAAGTTATAAATGAGATGGAAAGTGAGTATTTATTGTCAGTTTTTAAAATAGTGTGTATAAATAAAGTAACATGAGTGTTAGTAGTGCCTTAAGTTTAATTAAAATATATTTTTACTCTATTGTTTGAATTCAGACTTAATGACTTTACTTATTATTAAAATTTTTTACCTGAATAAAATCTTCCAAAACCTTCTCACCATAATTATTAAATATAAAGTACAATGCCATTTGTAATTTTTAAATAATAACAAAATTTGTTAAGTAATCACAAAATTTTAAATAATAAAATAATAACAAAATTTGTCTTTTAATAAAGACAAAAGTTTTCTTCTTACAAAGTATCATACTCTGAGAACATGTTACCATGACATCTGAGTAATAACGTAAAATCCCACATAGGTATTCACTACAGATTTTTTTTAAAGCTGGGATTAAGTTTGTAACACTTACTTTTAGAGCAGTGTCCAACATAAGGACACCATGGGAAAGTCAAGATCTTGCATAGTCTCCAGAACTATAACTATTGGCTTATAATAGAAGGAAAGGCGTTTGGAGAAACTGATTACAAAAGTGTAGGGAGGGTAGTGGTAGTGGTGGGTTACAGTATTTAAACTTTGTTTTTTATATGGCTATTGGTATTTAATGATATATCCATTTGAATATAGATTCAGCAAACTTTCTTCTATTAGAGCAGTGATCAATTCATTTCCTATTTTCACCTTTAGTGAACTGGTAGAAACCGTCAGAAACAATATATGGCATTTTACTGGGAAACAGAGTGTCCTTTCTAAGGTGCTAAAGTTTTTATACCAACAAGTTGTTTACTCATGATTTAACTATTGCTGCTGAGACCCTTGATTCCAGAATCATTTTCCAGAGCCCATGCTTTCTGAAGTGTAGGTGCCTGCCTGCTTCTTCCCCCACCTCCAGCTTCCTTGGTGTCTGTTTGGGTATCATTACAGCACGTACATAAACCCACCACCACCGCCATCCCCTCTGCCCATGTTTATGCTCAAAACCATTGCTTGAGAGAATATATGAAAATCCAAATGACTCAGCTGGGTCTTGGGGTCCTGTCATACACAAGCACTGATCATAACGTATATTCAGCTCTGTATCTTAATAATATATTAAAATATGGTGGTTGTGGCTGTTGAAACTGTTAGATCCACTGACTCTTGTCCCATCGTCAAAATTGCCTGGGAGGCAAAGGCAGACTATAGAGCAAGCCAGAGTGCTTTGCAAGCCTTCTACCTATCCACATACCTACTTCCATTTCCTTGGTCTCTGAAATCTCATTCTCACCATCATTTAACCGCAGTGAGCTTTCTCACTGACAGCTCCATGATGATCGTTTATAGATATATGTCTTCCATCCAGACCTCCCTCCTGTGTTAAAGATAGGTGAATCTGTAGTCACCTAATAATCATTCTCTTCTTATCTATCATGTTTCACCTCACATTCATACAAAGGGAGGTAGAAAGAGCCAATAGCAATGAATCCCCAAACAAGTCTAGTTAGCCCCACTCTACAAACACACATTTTATAATGGGGTTGCTACAGATTAGACATGGTACTATCAATTTACAATGTTTGACTTGTCTGCTGAAGAGAGTATGTTTTTCATACTCAAAATCGTTCCAAGTGGTAGAAAATTCTTGGCTTCAGGAAACATTTGTTTGTGACAGTAATACTCAAAAGGTAATGGGAAAACTTTTGATTGGGAGTTCTTATTAATTCAGCAAATGACTTCAAAATCAAATTGTATCCCTTCAATATTTTTTCCCCAATAATTGTAAAATGACATGAGGAATTGTTTCTGACAATGGTAGACTATGTAATTCAATACTCTTGCTGAGTACTGGGAAACCTGGATGAATATAAAAGACTGTGCTTAGGCTCTGAAGAATTTCCAAGAAAATGAAGAATCAAGACTCCAAGATTCAAAAGGAAAGGACACATAAATGTGAGTCCCTTATGGCATCTGTGAATTATGGAAGAGGCAGCTAAGAGGTTGGGAGGCTAATGTAATCCAAAGAGAGGGCAGAGGTGAGTGGAAGGAGATGAAGCACAGATGCTGAAGAAATATAACCGAAGAGCCTGGGACCAGCAGTTGGCCTAATGACTATGTCATTGGACTCCCATGTAGTCCACCATTGTTCAAATCCTGGACCCAGTGGCTTAAACTCACGCTGGGTGCATGTGTGTGCATGCCCAAGATTCTGTGAGGAGAATGGAGGAGAAGGGATTGTGGCATGGCCATCTGCACTGGGGGCTGATTTCCTGTTTTCTGTCTCTCTTTCTCTGTCTTTCTGGCGAGCACATGTGCCCTATAGCAAAAACCTCTCAAAAAAAAAAATATATATATGTGTGTTGTGTG